GGGGATTCCGAACCCCGTGCTAAGTCTAAATTGGCTGATCACATTAAATTTAACATTGCTAAATTTGCCGAGGCACGGGAAGCAGCGACGCTGAACTCGAGATCTCGCCAGATGGTGAACGAGCGGTTGCGTGCACAGCGGACGCACACGCACGAGTGGAAACCGGGCGATAAGGCCTGGTTGCACTGCCCGCAGGCGCCATTGGCAACATCCCCCAAACTGCTGAGGCCATGGCGGGGACCGGTCGAGGTTGTGCGGGTTGCGCGCCCCCAATGTGTTCAGGTTAAGTGGGGGAAGCGTTGTTGGTATGTTCACCCCTCCCGACTGAAACCTTTCACGGCGCCAGATACCTTCCCTTCATGTCCAAATGGCCGAGCATGTGATGTGTCCGTTGAATCGGGGAATGGGATGCCGCCGCCTGATCCTCACATGTCTCTGACTGACCCGCTCCCAGGTGTCTCGGAATTGACGGCCCCTGAACGCCAGCAGTCGGATCCCCGGAGCACGTGCGGATCCGGGGAGCCCGGTCCGAGCCTTCCAGGACTACCTGGGCCGCCTGTCGGACAAGCATGTCCTGTGCCATATGACGGACCGGCCAAGTGGACTCGTGCTAAATCGCGCCACTTCTCGTAACGTGGGGCCGGTTCCGTCAGGTTGCCGCGTCAGAGCAGCCCCCTTTTGACTGACTGGACGTCCCGCTTCTACGGGGCGTGTGGAGTCGCGGGTGCGGGTCACGGGACGTCGTAACGTTGTTTTTTTTTACGTATATATATTTTTTTTCTCGTCGACATTGTATATACGTTCTTGTTGTTGAGTGTTGGGGGGTTGGGTTATTTATTGGGGCGTTCGTGTGTTGTTGTTGTTGGTTTGGTTAATTGTTGTGTTGTTGTTATGGGGCACATGCAGGGTTCTGTGTTTTTTGGGATGCATTCTTTATTGCATAAGGGGGTTTTGCAGCTGGGCCGGCTGCGAGCTATGCGGAGGGGGGTGATGTAGAGGTGGTACGTACCGGGATGTAGCGAGCCATCGCGTAGCCGGTGTCTCCATCACGGTCCGCACATGGGTGGCTACACGGACGTCCGCACTAGCCCCGCCCCTCGGGGGGCAGAGGGCTATATAGGGCGATGCGCATGAGCGCTCGGGGAGTCGTTGAAGCCAGTGAAGAATGAAGACGGAGAAAGCTACATAGGACCCTGGGACCCCTAGCCCCGCTGCCCTTATCAGGGCCGGGACTCTGTGTGGCTCAGTGGTGAGACCCTGGGTACTCACGGCCCGACGTCCGTATCAGGGCCGGGTTTGATGGGCCAGTGGTTGGGACCCGTACCCTGGCTAGGTCGGGTCAGATAGCCTCCTCTAGGAAGGACATAGCTGGAGGACCTGAGAGCGTAGCCGGTGTCAGGCACGCGTAGGCTGTGTTCCTAGGCTGTATAGATGACTGTTCTGTAGGGTGTTATAAATAAATACGTGCTGCCTCCGTCAACTCGTCTCCTGCAGTATTTACGCCGTTACACATGTATCCAAGCTGCATCATCACCATTCAACATATACACACTGGTGACCTACCCTCAATGAATGCGGCCGACGTAAAAAAAAATAAACATCTGTGATACAGCACCCTACCATCAAACGTCCCGGTTTCAATGTTCCATGCCGCCAAAGGTCGACTATCAAACCAAACCAGGACTGGCCATGTGGTCGATGCGGCCACCTGATGCAACAAATTACACTATCAAAGATTCGTCGGCCCAGCAAGGGTGCGGCCTCGAATCCCAAGCGGTCGTCCTCAGGCGGAAATAGACTATTTCGACCGCTTGTATTGCGATTGAAACGTCGTGATTTATTTTATTTTATATTTTTCTACCTATATGACTTTATCGAAAAATCCAAAGAGTATAAAATCCTTAATCTGCTAATAATCCATACAAAAGAAGAAGAATGTTCCCACACGCATAAAACAAATGAACGTACATACCGACGATTTTGCATTGGCTGCACAATACACCAATGTTACATAAATCAAAGTCACCCTCAGCACAGACCTATTACAGGCAGACCTCTCTTAGAGCTTACGGTGCGTTACTGGAGAAGTGAGCGCTCATTGAATTGGCTTTTAAAGGGCCATTATACCATCATCCTTTATGAGGATGTGCCACCCAAAAGCAGTCATTCTTTCCTATGAGAAATATCAGAATAAAAATATTTATACTGTAAGAATCCGATGAACAATAAAGCTCTTTTTCACAGATGTCCAGTAGCGGCACGGGGTAAGAACATTACAACAACAAATGCCAAAAACATGATAGAAGTGCAAAGACATGAAAAGTAAACATCATCCAAACTCATACAAATAAAACTAAATTATCCGCCTTCGAACCAGGCATAGCCCACTGAGGTATGAACTATTTTTGAGAAGCAACCTGGCCACAAATGATAGCTCAACAACGTGGCTTATCATATGGACATTTACATCAGCAAATTAATCTAAATAAATGTAAATTGCATGTTTCTAAATGTGGAGGGAAAATCCAGGAGGACCCGGAGGAAAAAATCCAGGTAACCAACGAGAGAGAAACATTGATGGCCATCAAGTAATCAACCGTGACAGTTGTGGATCAGCCATCACTTTGCCAGTATTGGATTTGAGAGCGTACTCCTTCAGGCCACGCCCAATAAAGTTGGCAAGGCCAAGCTTAGCGTGGAAAATGGCAGAAATAAGCCGACAACCTTTAATTTGTAACGCGCGATCCACCAACGTTTCTTAATGCGTTAATCAAATTTGAGGTGATGATATCACAATGTTGTTTTTTCTCAAATTCATGGCCAAGAAGTCACACTTAGGTCTTGAGAATCCATCATTGTTTAGTAGGTACACTCGAAGACCTTGGCTGATACATTTTTATTTTATTTCGGCATTCACTTTATTGATCATATCTGGATTTGATTTAATGACGCTCATATAACTGGGGGTTACAGTATTAGTCGTGTTGAAGAAAACGACACTAAAACACGTATCAGGTGGGCTGCAGGAAGGCTGCTGTCTCCCACCCAACAAAGACCTGAATTGTATTAGAAGTCACGGGGCACCTGCGTCTTAACTGACACCAAACAAAATGTGAACTCAGCCTCCCACATAATTAATATCAACGCATAGCGAGATATCCAAGTTATGTTTCTGCAGGGACTAAATTAAGTTACAAGCCTCCACCATCAGAGCTCAGTGGCACACGCAACAGGGGTCTGACTTTCTGCGAGGGCATCTCCAGATAACGCACAGCGCAAGGTTAATTAAGGGGAAAGCATTGTCCGCAAACGTGCTGGGACAAACTTAATTTGGAGCTTTCGTGACTGCAGGAATTATTCTTTGGTTCTTTCGGTAAAGTCACGTATAAAGATAAAATAATAAATTAAATTAAATACTAGCATACGACGTTTCGATTGCAACACAAGCGAGATTTGTGTTTCTATTTAATTTATACCTGATGATGATTGCTTGTGTTGCAATCGAAACGTCGTATGCTAGTATTGAATTTAATTTATTATTTTATCTTTATACGTGACTTTACCGAAAGAACCAAAGAATAATTCCTGCAGTCACGAAAGCTCCAAATTAAGTTTGAACCACTTCTACGGAGAAGTTTTAAGTTTGTTTTTTCTCTCTCTCTCTGGGTTTTTTCGTTGTCTCTCTCTGCTTGTGTATCGGTCTTCGTGTCTGTGTTTTTTCAAATTTCACACTTAACTTCTAATTTAGCAATCTTTGGAAGAACGTAATCAACCAGGCTATACGTTAATTGTGTGTTGACCGACCCTCTGTGTTGCATTGCATTACATTTCGAAATTTTTGCTAGGTTAGTTAATTTAGTGTGTCTCTCTCCCTGCCACCTAATATTTTCAAGCTTTCGTACCGTACCCCTCATCGTGCTACTCATTGACATGCTAATTTCTCTAACCCCTCTCTCTCCGCCCCTGCCCCCCCTCTCTCAAGCTTTTTACACCTTGCCACTCACCGTTTCCACTCATGGACATGCTAATTTCTCTAACCCCTCCCTCTCTCCCCGCCCCCCCCCTCTCTCTATTTAAGGCCTCGACACAGAGGCGTAGTTTCTCTTTGTGCCTATGTTTGCTCTCTCTCTATGTATCTCTGTGATATCTGTCTGCTTATATGTCTGTCTATATGTTTCTGGTTCTGTGTTTAATCTCTCTCTCAAATTTAGCATTCTCAGGAATAACGTAATCAACCAGATAGGGTGTTGACTGTTATGTTATCCGACTCTCTGTTGTATTACATTACATTTCTAAGTATACTAGATTTGTGTTTCTATTTAATTTATACCTGATGATGATTGCTTGTGTTGCAATCGAAACGTCGTATGCTAGTATTTAATTGAATTTATTATTTTATCTTTATACGTGCTGGGACAAGCCTGGGGGAGAAACTACTGCAGTTCTAATGGACAGCAAGTCTCCCCTCGTTTGCTCTGTAGCTGACACATTGGCATGCAAGTGTTGGAGCCCCAGAACACGGACAAAATGAAGAGCAAAACCCGCACCATCACCCATCTACTGAAATCAACGCCAAAACAGTGGTTCCTCGTTCTGTAAAATCCATAATGATCACCACCGGGAGCTGATACCCATGATTCGAATGCAAGATCTCAGCAGTGCAAGCCCAGGCACGATAAGCCTCTTGAGTCTCAAGAAAATGTTCAGCAATGCCTTAATAAAAAAAAATGTATATTACAATACAATTATGTGGCTAACAAGGGTAAACATTTCTCAAATGACCGACGAAGCAACATACAAAGTTATAAGCGATTGCCAAGCTGTCATCTAGGGAGCAGTAGAAAATATAAAAATAGTAAAAAGTGCGGACAAAAGTAAGCGGTGTCTTTTCACGTGAAAATTATGTGGCAGGTGGGAAATAGTCGTCAATGGCCCCTTCCATTGACAAAGCTACCAGAGCAGTCGTATTTGGTAAGTGGTAGAATGATCATGATTCAAACCTCCAGACAAGGACACTCCTGGGTTGCGGTTGTACCCTGGACAGGATCTGAAACAAACAGCGAAAACAAATCATGTGCATTAATAGTTGCTTTAATGACTTGTCAGTTTGACAGTTGTTAGGCTTTTGTGACCAATATTATTCATCATAGAGGTATTTTTTGGAGGTTAGATCGCGTTAAGTATAAGTGTCGTTAACATGCCACCACCCGACACAGCCAATTAAGTAAGGGGTTGTCACGTAAACCAAACGTGCAATTAAGTTACGACTTTAGACCCACCGGTTTGCTGGACAGTAAATCCACAGCATTTACAATTCGAGTACCTGGTGAGGTTTTGCCGATAATTACATTCGGCATCATTGGGGGCGATTTCGCCTGAATTTTAAAACAGATCTACCCACTTCTGGTCGTAAATGGAGCAAGAAGACGTCATCACTGTGAGTTTTGTCCTCGGAAGAGCTTTACTTATGTGTGTGTCTGTCCTGACTGCTATGACATTGATCATGAACGTGGTATTTAATTAAGAAAGATGGAACAAAAAACAACAACAAAAGGTGTGCAAAGAAGCTTTGAAAGATACATTGAGGCACGGTTTGTCCACTATGGGCGTTGGGCACCGTCAAATAAAAATACTTTTCTATTAATTGTGTTGTTATTGTTCACTATTTTTTTTTAAACGCAATGATTATTTCAACGTGAATTGCCTAATGAAGGTAAAAATTTAAGTTGTCCGTGTTAGAAACCACTGCGATGCCACAGTCTGATTTGTGTCTCAGAGAGGTGTCGGGGCAGCTGTGAAGGCGTTCCGAGCAAGCGATATCCCTTCCTTTATTGTGATTAGCTTCTAGAAACTAATATTTTAAGAGCCATTCATGGCCGTGATAAAGGCGCCCGTGGCTGCGATGACTATGCCACAATGCTAGGTTGCACTGTGCAAATATAGCAGGTCACGGCTCTAGGAGGTTGTGTAGTGTGTCATTGAGGGTCATGGGGACATCATTTGAGACAGTTATATCATTTTCACGGGAAGGCCATTGACATGACGAGGTTTTTTATTAATTAGAACACCATGTTTTTACAGGTCACTCACAACATCCCCACCTAATGGAAATGTCAAGAACCATCACTGGATAAATTTGTTGAAGTTTACATTAAGAAGCAAAAAAAGTGGAACATGTGGAGCAGTGAGGGAAAAAAAGTATTTGATCCCCTGCTGATTTTGTACCTTTGCCCACTGACAAAGAAATGATCAGTCTATAATTTTAATGGTATGTTTATTTGAACAGTGAGAGACAGAATAACAAAAAGAAAATCCAGAAAAACGCATGTCAAAAATGTTATAAATTGATTTGCATTTTAATGAGGGAAATACGTATTTGACCCCCTCTCAATCAGAAAGATTTCTGGCTCCCATGTGTCTTTTATACAGGTGTAATAAAGGACTTGGACGCTTCTCTCTGACTCCGTGTCCTTTATTTGGGTTCGCGTTCTCCTTCCCTCACGGCACTCCTCCTGAGACTCTCTGCCTGGCAGCTCCACATCTGCCTTCGCTCCCGTAGCCTTCCGCGCTCCTGCAGCTCCGTTGCAGGCTCTTGGTGCAGCCCTCTGGCTGCTCTCACAGCAGCTCCATCGCTGCTCCCTGTTCCTCCGTGCGTGGCGATCTCGCCACCTCCCAACGTCAGCCCTTCGTGGCCTCTGTGGCTATCTCGCCATCTCCTACCTCAGCCCTTCGTGGCCTCTGTGGCTATCTCGCCATCTCCTACCTCAGCCCTTCGTGGCCTCTGTGGCTATCTCGCCATCTCCAACCTCAATCCTCCACTCTCTCTTCCACCCCGCTGGCTGGCGCCGTCATGAGCCCCTCAGCCACCAGGCTGAGGCACGGCGACCACCCAACGTGTTCACCACCCTTCACTCCCCCGACTGACCCAGATAGCTTCCTGTCTCCCCGCTATAACTTCTCCCCCACGTGACCCTGACTCCTCCCCCTCGGATCGTCATATCCGCCCCGCCCATTTACGCCCGCATTACACAGGTAACAAGCTGAGATTAGGAGCACACTCTTAAAGGGAGTGCTCCTAATCTCAGCTTGTTACCTGTATAAAAGACACCTGTTCACAAAAGCAATCAATCAATCACCATGGCCAAGACCAAAGAGCTCTCCAAGGATGTCAGGGACAAGATTGTAGACCTACACAAGGCTGGAATGGGCTACAAGACCATCGCCAAGCAGCTTGGTGAGAAGGTGACAACAGTTGGTGCGATTATTCGCAAATTGAAGAAACACAAAAGAATTGTCAATCTCCCTCGGCCTGGGGCTCCATGCAAGATCTCACCTCGTGGAGTTGCAATGATCATGAGAACGGTGAGGAATCAACCCAGAACTACACGGGAGGATCTTGTCAATGATCTCAAGGCAGCTGGGACCATAGTCACCAAGAAAACAGTTGGTAACACACTACGCCGTGAAGGACTGAAATCCTGCAGCGCCCGCAAGGTCCCCCTGCTCAAGAAAGCACATATACATGCCCGTCTGAAGTTTGCCAATGAAAATCTGAATGATTCAGAGGACAACTGGGTGAAAGTGTTGTGGTCAGATGAGACCAAAATCGAGCTTTTTGGCATCAACTCAACTCGCCGTGTTTGGAGGAGGAGGAATGCTGCCTATGACCCCAAGAACACCATCCCCACCGTCAAACATGGAGGTGGAAACATTATGCTTTGGGGGTGTTTTTCTGCTAAGGGGACAGGACAACTTCACTGCATCAAAGGGACGATGGACGGGGCCATGCACCGTCAAATCTTGGGTGAGAACCTCCTTCCCTCAGCCAGGGCATTGAAAATGGATCGTGGATGGGTATTCCAGCATGACAATGACCCAAAACACACGGCCAAGGCAACAAAGGAGAGGCTCAAGAAGAAGCACATTTGGGTCCTGGAGTGGCCTAGCCAGTCTCCAGACCTTAATCCCATAGAAAATCTGTGGAGGGAGTTGAAGGTTCGAGTTGCCAAACGTCAGTCTCGAAACCTTAATGACTTGGAGAAGATCTGCAAAGAGGAGTGGGACAAAATCCCTCCTGAGATGTGTGCAAACCTGGTGGCCAACTACAAAAAACGTCTGACCTCTGTGATTGCCAACAAGGGTTTTGCCACCAAGTACTAAGTCATGTTTTGCAGAGGGGTCAAATACTTATTCCCCTCATTAAAATGCAAATCAATTTATAACATTTTTACATGCGTTTTTCTGGATTATTTTGTTGTTATTCTCTCTCACTGTTAAAATAAACCTACCTTTAAAATTATAGACTGATTATTTCTTTGTCAGTGGGCAAACGTACAAAATCAGCAGGGGATCAAATACTTTTTTCCCTCACTGTATGCTGGTTACTGACAACAATGAAAAGTTAAGAAAAAGGCATGGGCTGGACATGTAATTACAAGAAGAAAAACATGTTGGATGCTCGTCGAGACTAATGACGGAGTGGTAGACAAATTATGTAATGCGCCCATGAGGATGTCCACCGAGGAGAAATAAATAATTGATTCAGGCTTTCACGCGAGCAATCCGAAGATTGTTACATCGCAGGTCCATATGCGAGCAAGGTCAGTGGCTTTGATCGTCGTTCATCAACAATTGATCATCGTTGATTGTGATGACATCTGTGATAGAGCTGTGGCCTCGCACGAGATGACGTGACGTACAATCAAGCCATAGGGATATCAGAATCAGAATGTTGATATATACTGGAGGAATCGGATGAGCTCGAAAGCTTTTTTCACAGATGTCCAGTAGAGGTGGGGAGAACGTTACAACAACAGCAAAAACAAACTGTACAAAACACGATAGGAGTGCAAGGTACAAGAAAGTAAACAAATCACCTAAAAACATATAAATAAAACTAAACCATCCCCATCCTACCAAAACGATCTCGCCACAGATGATAGCTCAACAAAGTGGCTCATCATTTGGACATTTATAGTATCAAAATAATCTGAATTTACGCAATGCATGTTTCTAAATGTAGAAGGAAAACCCAGAGGACCCGGAGAAAAAAGCCACGCGATCACGGGGAGAACATGCAAACTCCAAATATACAGGCATCCCGGTAGGGATTGAACCCCTGACTTCCTGCATACCAGGCGAGGAAGGTTGCATCTCACCACCATTTCACACCATGTTTATTTTTCGTTCATTACGGTTTTTTGGCAGGTTTCATGAATTTGCTAGGTTTTCTCCAAGATAAGTTTCCCAATAGCAACACAAATTTAAACTAACGTTAAATGCACGACGGGGTCATTTAACATGAGCTCGTGTGTTATAAACAGATCGTAGAGACCAGCAAAAACACGGCATTCACACTTTTAAAAAGTCAGTTTGAAAGCGTTAAATTGCCATCTGCATCCAACAATTAACCATCATACTTACATGCTTTCGGAACGTTGTGGTTTGGGGGCAATGCTAGGTACAACTGCAGAACACAGAGAGCACCTATTAGCGTTGCCACAATTTGTCAATTGACATTGCATATACAATGTTTAATACGAGTAACGAATTGGCTTTGTGAGGCACCTGGATGTAGGAGAGTAGAGTGAGATGAGAGGGGAGAGTTAGGAGAGTGTGTGGAGGGGAGTAGTGAGATGAGAGGGGAGAGTAAGGAGAGTGGACTGATATGAGAGGGGAGAGGTAGGAGAGTGTGTGGAGGGTAGTGGAGTGAGATGAGAGGGGAGTGGTCGGATAGTGTGTGGAGGAAATTATAGTGTGACAATGAAAATTGCAGGAGCAGATGGTCGATGACGGAAGCTCATTAACTTTGCACTATAATCCAACATGCTATTTCTACATATTATCTTTGCTAAAACATGCTAATAACCTCTTTCCCTAAGCTCTTTTTACATACTCTCTTTGACTTGCTAATCCCTCTCAAACGTATATAAACCCTTGCTTGTGGATCCTTCTCAAACGTATATAAACCCTTGCTTGAGGCAGCTGTCTCACCATTTCTCGCTTGATGACGGACGCTTGTGTTGCCTCGGAAAAGTCTTGATTTATTTTATTTTATTTCTATCTACGTGACTTTACCGAAAGAACCAAAGAGTATCATATATTTTACCCACTTAATTTGTGCTTTCTATAAAGGATCTGCAATCATTGACATTGTGGCAGTGATGTGACTCAATCCTTGTGGTTATTAGTTGAATCATTTACCAGATTTTTCGGTAACTGATGGCACGTGCCTCATATGAAATTTGATGCATAGCCCCGACAAATTCAGAAAAATTCTGAGTCTCCCACCACCACTTTTGAGCAAATGTACATTTTTTAAAAACGTTATATAATTTTCAACAGCAACACAAATATCTCAAGAACCAGGGTTACGCATCTACAAAATGGCCGGCGTGCACGTGCATAGCCATAACTAATTCGCGGCTGTGATGTGTGGAGCAAGGACAAAAGCTTAGAAAGAATGAGAGAAAGAAGTGGCGTCGAAAATGTGGCTTGAGAACACATTTGGCAATGGTACTGACAAGAGCAGACCCTTTGAGTTAGAACGATTCAAACCTCTGGGCATTGGTACTGGCGTGGGTGAGTCGCCCCTGCACCAAACAGGAAAAAAAAATGCACATTCATAGTTAATATATTAAAAATTGTGTATAGTGAGATATTACGATTTTTTTATGTTGACAGCATTTTTCTCTAAGAAAGGTTTCCCAATAGCAACACAAATTGACTATAAAGTTAAATGCACGACGGGTCATCCCTTGCTAACATTTAACGTGGGCTCGTGTGTTGCAGACAGATCGGAGGAACCAGCAGAAACACGGCATTCACACGTAAGTAAAGTCAAATGAATAAAAAATCAAAAACAATAAAATCACGACGTTTCGGAGACAACATAAGCTTCTGTCTTCAGGTGAAACTGTCACAGCAAAAATATCTGTATCAAGTGAAGAGAAGTCCCAAGAGGTACGACCCTTTATACTGGTTAAGGGGAGAGGAGCCAGGAAGGGCCGCGGGAGAGGAGGAGTTGTGAGATGGTCGGTACTGCTCCTGGAACTGAGCCTTTGTAATGTAGATGGCATATGTAGATAAGCCAGCTAGGATTAAGCCGCCTTTTGTTATGCTGCTGGGTGGGTAAATTAATTAAATACTATTAAGCCGCCTTTTGTTATGCTGCTGGGTGGGTAAATTAATTAAATACGAAAAAGGAGAGTACTGTTAAACGCTGGGGATGTTAACACTCGGTAGAGTAAAATAGTGCCTGTCAGATAAAATGGTCCAAAAATGTGTAATAATAGTTTTTTTTACCCTTCTATCTGGCAACAAAACTGACACCTTTTTACAAGGAGTCATGTTTGCATAGACCGCAATACCTGCAGTCATAATACAAACAAAAGAACATAACTCTGATAATGTGCACTGTCCTTGAAGTTGATTGGTCCACACCCGAGACAGCTTTCCTTAGAGCCTAGTCTCACATGGGTTGGACCAGATGACGCCAAAAGGCGCACAACTCAAAGACAATGCACCATCAGAGTATGAGAGCTCGGGGTAAGCATTTACACCATGGGAACCTCATTTGCCAGTGGTGTAAATGCTTACCCCGAGCTCTCATACTCTGATGGTGCATTGTCTTTGAGTTGTGCGCCTTTTGGCGTCATCTGGTCCAACCCATGTGACATAATTTCAACCGTGATGATGGGTACAAACTTCGTAATCATTGGAAAGATGTTATCCACCATGCAAAAAGATTTAACTACACATTTTTGGACCATCTTATCTGACAGGCACTATTTTACTCTACCGAGTGTTAACATCCCCAGCGTTTAACAGTACTCTCCTTTTTCGTATTTAATTAATTTACCCACCCAGCAGCATAACAAAAGGCGGCTTAATAGTATTTAATTAATTTACCCACCCAACAGCATAACAAAAGGCGGCTTAATCTTAGCTGGCTTATCTACATATGCCATCTACATTACAAAGGCTCAGTTCCAGCAGCAGTACCGACCATCTCACAACTCCTCTCCCGCAGCCCTTCCTGGCTCCTCCCCCCTTAACCAGTATAAAGGGTCGTACCTCTTGGGACTTCTCTCTTCACTTGATACAGATATTTTGCTGTGACAGTTTCACTTGAAGACGGAAGCTTGTGTTGCCTCCGAAACGTCGTGATTTTTTATTTTTTTTATTTTTTATTAATTTGAATTTCATTTTTTACCTACGTGACTTTACCGAAAGAACTAAGAGTATGAATCCTTGCAGTCACGAAAGCTTCAAATCTAGAATTAAGTAAAGTCAGTTTGAAAGCGATAAATTGCTATCAGCATCCAACAATTAACCACTATACTTACATGCTTTCTGAACTTTGCGGTTTGTGGGCAATGCTACGTCGAACTGCAGAATGCAGAGAGCACCTGTTAGCATTGGCACAATGTATCAGTTGAAATTGCATATACAATGTTTAATACAATTAACGAATTGACTTTGTGACGCATCTCGATGTAGGAGAGGAGAGTGAGCTAGGAAGGGAGAGGTAGGAGAGTGCGTGAGGGGAGCAGAGTGAGATGAGAGGGGAGAGGTAGGCGAGTTTATGGAGGGTAGTGGAGTGAGATGGGAGGGGAGAGGTAGGCGAGTGTGTGGAGGGAATTAGTGTGGCAAGTAGACTGCAGGAAGAGATGGTGACTGTGATTTTGAAATTAATCTGAGATTCAAGTTTACGTTTGGTTATGTATACATGTGTAACGGGTTCCGGAGACACTTGTAGAGGTAACTTCTTTATTACAATACAACACTCCAACAGTCCAACTCTCCAACAGTCCTGATACTCTGTTACAGCCTAGGTACACAGCCTAGCTACACAGCCTAGATACTCTACTCTGGCTACGCTCCGGAACTCGCCCTCACAAGGTCGTAGAGTCGGGAGTTCCAGAGTCCCAGCGCTGACTCTCGCAGCATCCCAGGGTCTTCAGATGGCTGGTCGTGGGTCTTGGGTCTTGAGTTACAACTGGGCCCCGATCGTCCAGGGAGCTCTCCTTTTATGCCTGGTCCAACGAGGGGTGGGGCCGTGTGCGCCACCAGACATCCCACAGAGCACACACAGCCCCCCCCGTTGGCGGCGCCCAGGGGATTAAGCGCCTGGGAACTCAACGCCTGGCGCCCAGAGGCTTAAGCGTCTGGACCCCCTGGGAACCCAGCGCCTGGCGCCCAGAGGCTTAAGCGTCTGGACTCGCCTGGGAAGCCAGAGCCCCCAGCAGCCCCTCCCTTCTAATGTCACTACATTACCCCCCTCTATGTAGCCTCCAGCCGTCCCGGCTGTCAATAATTAGAAAGTTTAAATTAACGAAAGGGAGAGAGAGAAAAAAAAATACGCGAGCCTCAACAGGAAAAGAAAAGAGAACAAGAAAGCAACCATAAAAACCATAACCAACCTGTACAACTCTACACTATATACAAGCATCAATCAACAAAAAGGTGAAGCAATGACACATGAACAAACGACCCATGGCACACCTAGCCCTCCTCGGGATCTGCATAGAAAACGGGGAATTAACAACAACAAATATACAGATTCCGACGCGTTGGATGCACAACCACCGCATGGATGGCAGGGTTCCACACCACTCTGCCAGCCTCCCATCCGTCAGGTGGTGAGAAGGCGAAGACCAACATGTCGAGCATCCCTCTACACACACTAATCCGGACGTCTGTCTACGTCCCGGGTCGAGAAGTCGTCGCACTTCAGGGCTGCTCCAGTATCTACATTTTAAAATATGTATATAAAATTTACATGACACAAACAAAATAAATCTGCCTGCTCCTGTCCATAAATGGTGGCCGCACGCACGAACCGCATCTCCAAAAGGCATCCCGTGCTTGCGTCCCAGCAGCCCTCAATGAGGACCACCACCGACATTACATGTCAACCGTTTGTACCCCCCGCCTTTCCAACGTGGCGTCTCCATCCTAAAACCACGCACGTCGGCCATATCGGGGGGGACTTCAACCCAGTCTCTCTCCAAGACTCGCATCGCAGGATATAGCTGTACCGACCGATCTGAGACCCAACCTCTCTCCAAGACTCGCATCGCAGCGTATAGCTGTACCGACCGAGCTGAGACCCAATCTCTCTCCAAGACTCGCATCGCAGCATATAGCTGTACCGACCGATCTGAGACCCAACCTCTCTCCAAGACTCACATCGCAGCGTATAGCTGTACCGACCGAGCTGAGACCCAATCTCTCTCCAAGACTCGCATCGCAGCATATAGCTGTACCGACCGATCTGAGACGACCCATTGTTCACGCCCTGCACAACATGCACCCTAACAACTGAGGGATACAGTCCCAACGTAATGGAACAACTACACCTGAACACCACGAATCTCTAGCCCACTGTTTCAACGCGCCTCGGAGTGTTTCAATCTCCGGGCCGTCAGGGCGAGCCTACTGCTCCAGACGTGCCACGGAGGGTCTCAACCTCCGGGCCGTCAGGTCAAGCCGTCAGCTATTCCATGACGGGACCACACTCTCCGAGCCCTGTGAGCGCACAGCCCACTAGGCTAGACATGCCACGGAGTGTTTCAATCTCTGGGCTGTCAGGTCAAGCCGCCAGCCACAGCACGACGGGACCACACTTTCCGAGCCACGCGAGCACACAGCCCACCAGGCTAGACATGCCACGGAGTGTCTCTATCTCCGGACTGTCAGGTCAAGCCGTCAGCCATAGCATGACGGGACCACAACTCTCATGTTAGACATGCAACACCCGCTGGGCCATTGTCACCATCTGAAGATAAATGCCCCACACAGTATATACATCGTTAACAATGACAGCACAAGCTATACATTAACAATCACGAACAAAGCTCAATACAAACCATACATTGTTAACAATCACAAGCAAAGTTTCGCACACACATTGACAACACTCACGAGCGAAGCTCCACACAGTTTACCCAACAACAGTCACGACTCCCCGACGACAACGAAGAAAATATCAAAAAAAAATCATTAATCCGGAGCGGGTAAAATGTACGAAGTGTCAGGGGCCTGGTCTCCCGACCTCCAACCTTTGGCCAGAGCAGCACAGGCGGCGACCAGCGAGTCGGTCCATGTGCCGGCCCCGGCGCTGGTTACAGTAAGAATGGCGCCCTCACTGTCCGGTCGCAGCGCTGATGATGCGAAATGCTAGGTTGAAGCCAGCTGTCGTCCGGCAGTGAAGGTCGCAGCGCTGATGACGCGGCGTCTCTGGGTTGGCCCACGCTGGGCCCGGAAGTGACGTCGCTCCCAGCGGTCACTGCTCCTCCGGTGGAAGTGATGTCATTCCCGGAAGTATCCCTCACATCCGTGGGGGGGACGCCGGTGGAATGGCGGCGGCGTCCACCATGTTTGTGGCGGCGGCGGCGGGCTCGGGTGAGCGCCGCGCCTCCTCTCTCCCTCTCGCCATCGCCCGCGAGCACCGCATCTCGCCCAGGAGGGAGGCGGTGGCGCAGAGCAGCTCTGCGAGGCGAAGCAGCGCCTCCTCCATCTCTGCTCCCGACGCTGGTTAGGGGACGGTCGGCGGAGCAGACAGCTGCTCAGCCGGCGGTGCAGCGTCGCTGTCGGCCGGCGTTGGCCGCCCCATCGCTGCCTGCTCCTCTTCATCGCTGTCAGGACTGAAGGTACGTGGCTTACTTCTTGTCTCCATAGCCACTTCCGACGGCAAATGTAACGGGTTCCGGAGACACTTGTAGAGGTAACTTCTTTAGTCCAACTCTCCAACAGTCCTGATACTCTGTTACAGCCTAGGTACACAGCCTAGCTACACAGCCTAGATACTCTACTCTGGCTACGCTCCGGAACTCGCCCTCACAAGGTCATAGAGTCGGGAGTTCCAGAGTCCCAGCGCTGACTCTCGCAGCATCCCAGGGTCTTCAGATGGCTGGTCGTGGGTCTTGGGTCTTGAGTTACAACTGGGCCCCGATCGTCCAGGGAGCTCTCCTTTTATGCCTGGTCCAACGAGGGGTGGGGCCGTGTGCGCCACCAGACATCCCACAGAGCACACACAGCCCCCCCCCGTTGGCGGCGCCCAGGGGATTAAGCGCCTGGGAACTCAACGCCTGGCGCCCAGAGGCTTAAGCATCTGGACCCCCTGGGAACCCAGCGCCTGGCGCCCAGAGGCTTAAGCGTCTGGACTCGCCTGGGAAGCCAGAGCCCCCAGCAGCCCCTCCCTTCTAATGTCACAACACATGCTGAACCTCTTTCGCACCAAATGTAGCCAACCGTGCTAATCAGAGGTGCGATATGCCGATACTGTGATACGTTGTTTGATGTCGTCTATTATTCCTAAAATCTGTTTAAACAAATACAACCTCACGGTTAATATCATGATTCGTCTACTTTTTAAAAATATATTTACTTCATTAATATCTTTATAGTTGTTAAGAATTAAAATTCGCAATAATAATAGTATTCATACTCTTTGATTCTTTATTTTATACCTAAGTGACTTTACCGAAAGAACCAAAGAGTATGGATCCCTGCAGTCACGAAAACGTATAATTTAGATTCATAATAGTATTCTAAATTAATATATTTTACCCATAGAATTTGTTCTTTGTAGAAACGATCTGCAATCATTGACATCGTGCCAGTGATGTGACTCAATTCGTTAATCATTTAACAGATTATTCTGTAAGTGAAGGCATGTGCCCTCATATGAAATTAGATGCATAGCCCAAACAAATACAGAAAGACTCTGAGTCTCCCACCACCACTTCTGAGCAAATTCCCGTTAAAAAAATATTCCACAGCAACACAAAGACCTAAAGAACCAGGGATATGCATCTTTAAAATGGCCAACATGCACCTGCGTAGCCATAAGTAATTCCAGGCAGTGATGTGTGGAGCAAGGAACAAATCTTAGAAAGAGTGAGAGAAAGAAGTGGCGTCGAAAATGTAGCACGTGAACACATTTGGCAATGGTATTGTCAAGAGCAGTCCTTTTAATGAGTTAGAATTATTCAAACCTCTGGGCACGGGCACTGGCGTGGGTGAGTCGCCCCTGCATCAAACAGGAAAGAAAAAAATGCACATTCATAGTTACTCATTTTTCTATTTTGTAGAGTGAGTTATTACGATTTTTTTATGTTGACAGCATTTCTGCATGTTTTCTCTCAGATAGGTTTCCCAATTGCAACGCAAATAGACTATGAAGTTAAATGCACGACGGATCATCCCTTGCGAACATTTAACGTGGGCTCGTGTGTTACAGACAGATGGGAGGAACCAGCAAAAACACGACATTCACACGTAAAAAAAATCAGTTTGAAAGTGATAAATTGCTATCAGCATCCAACAATTAACCACTATACTTACATGCTATCTGAACTTTGCGGTTTGCGGACAATGCTACGTCGAACTGCAGAACACAGAGAGCACCTGTTAGCATTGACACAATGTATCAGTTGAAAATTCATATACAATGTTTAATACGATTAACGAATTTACTTTGTGAGGCATCTCGATGTAGGAGAGTAGAGTGAAATGGGAAGGGAGAGGTAGGAGAGTGCGTGTGGGGGAGCAGAGTGAGATGAGAGGTAGGAGAGTGTGTGGAGGGGAGTAGAGTGAGATGAGAGGGGAGAGGTAGGAGAGTGCGTAGAGAGGAGCAGAGTTAGATGAGAGGGGAAAGTAGGCGAGTGTGTGGAGGGTAGTGGAGTGAGATGGGAGGGGAGAGGTAGGCGAGTGTGTGGAGGGAATTATAGTGCGGCAAGTAGACTGTGATTTTGAAATTAATCTAAGATTCAAGTTTAAGTTGGGTTATGTATACATGCTGAACCCCTTTCGCACCAAATGTAGCCAACCGTGCTAATCAGAGGTGCGAGGTGCCGATACTGTGATACGTTGTTTAATGTCGTCTATTATTCCTAAAATCTGTTTCAACAATTATAACCTCACGGTTAATAATATGATTCGACTACTTAAAAAAAATATTTACATCATTAATATCTTTATAGACGTTAAGAATTAAAATTCGCAATCATAATAGTATTCATACTCTTTGGTTCTTTATTTTATACCTACGTGACTTTATCGAAAGAACCAAAGAGTATGGATCCCTGCAGTCACGAAAACTTAAAATCTAGATTCACAATAGTATTCTAAATTAATATATTTTACCCATTGAATGTGTGCTTTGTAGAAACGATCAGCAATCATTGACATCGTGCCAGTGATGTGACTCAATTCGTTGATCATTTAACAGATTATTCTGTAAGTGACGGCAAGGAACGAATCTTAGAAAGAGTGAGAGAAAGAAGTGGCGTCGAAAATGTAGCACGTGAACACATTTGGCAATGGTATTGTCAAGAGCAGTCCTTTTAATGAGTTAGAATTATTCAAACCTCTGGGCACGGGCACTGGCGTGGGTGAGTCGCCCCTGCACCAAACAGGAAAGAAAAAAATGCACATTCATAGTTACTCATTTTTCTATTTTGTAGAGTGAGTTATTACGATTTTTTTATGTTGACAGCATTTATGCATGTTTTCTCTCAGATAGGTTTCCCAATTGCAACGCAAATAGACTATGAAGTTAAATGCACGACGGATCATCCCTTGCGAACATTTAACGTGGGCTCGTGTGTTACAGACAGATGGGAGGAACCAGCAAAAACACGACATTCACACGTAAAAAAAATCAGTTTGAAAGTGATAAATTGCTATCAGCATCCAACAATTAACCACTATACTTACATGCTATCTGAACTTTGCGGTTTGCGGACAATGCTACGTCGAACTGCAGAACACAGAGAGCACCTGTTAGCATTGACACAATGTATCAGTTGAAAATTCATATACAATGTTTAATACGATTAACGAATTTACTTTGTGAGGCATCTCGATGTAGGAGAGTAGAGTGAAATGAGAAGGGAGAGGTAGGAGAGTGCGTGTGGGGGAGCAGAGTGAGATGAGAGGTAGGAGAGTGTGTGGAGGGGAGTAGAGTGAGATGAGAGGGGAGAGGTAGGAGAGTGCGTAGAGAGGAGCAGAGTTAGATGAGAGGGGAAAGTAGGCGAGTGTGTGGAGGGTAGTGGAGTGAGATGGGAGGGGAGAGGTAGGCGAGTGTGTGGAGGGAATTATAGTGCGGCAAGTAGACTGTGATTTTGAAATTAATCTAAGATTCAAGTTTAAGTTGGGTTATGTATACATGCTGAACCTCTTTCGCACCAAATGTAGCCAACCGTGCTAATCAGAGGTGCGAGGTGCCGATACTGTGATACGTTGTTTGATGTCGTCTATTATTCCTAAAATCTGTTTCAACAATTATAACCTCACGGTTAATAATATGATTCGACTACTTAAAAAAATATTTACATCATTAATATCTTTATAGACGTTAAGAATTAAAATTCGCAATCATAATAGTATTCATACTCTTTGGTTCTTTATTTTATACCTACGTGACTTTACCGAAAGAACCAAAGAGTATGGATCCCTGCAGTCACGAAAACTTAAAATCTAGATTCATAATAGTATTCTAAATGAATATATTTTACCCATTGAATGTGTGCTTTGTAGAAACGATCAGCAATCATTGACATCGTGCCGGTGATGTGACTCAATTCGTTGATCATTTAACAGATTATTCTGTAAGTGATGGCATGTACCCTCGTATGAAATTAGATGCATAGCCCAAACAAATACAGAAAGACTCTGAGTATACCACCACCACTTCTAAGCAAATGCCCGTTAAAAAAAGAAATTCAACAGCAACACAAAGATCTAAAGAACCAGGGATATGCATTTTTAAAATGGCCAACATGCACCTGCGTAAACATAAGTAATTCCAGGCAGTGATGTGTGGAGCAAGGAAATAATCTTAGAAAGAGTGAGAGAAAGAAGTGGCGTCGAAAATGTAGCACGTGAACACATTTGGCAATGGTACTGACAAGAGCAGTCCTTTTAATGAGTTAGAATGATTCAAACCTCTGGGCACGGGCACTGGCGTGGGTGAGTCGCCCCTGCACCAAACAGGAAAGATAAAAAATGCACATTCATAGTTAATATCTCTTGTAATTTGTGTTTGTCCTTAAATATAATGGTGGCATTGATTTTATGTTTTTGTTTAATCCATTTTATCAATTGGCACACACACGCTATGGATTATTTCTTGTTGTTGAATGTTGCATAATCTCGACATTTTAGCTTAATCAGCGGATATTTGAGCAATCGCTGATGAGTACTTTTTGGTTCTTTCGGTAAAGTCACGTAGGTATAAAATAAAATAAATTAAATCATGACGTTTCGGGCGCAACACAAGTGGGCAAAAGGAGGCTGCTTGTGACACGAGGCTATATATATGTGTAGAGGTGTAGTTATGCATGGGCAAGGATGGCTAACAAACACAAGGAGCGTGGTTAGAGCCGTACACAGAGGAGGTGCTCACACCGACGTCCGCACTCATCCCCCACGGGCCCCTCCCGGGGGGGCCGAGTACTATAAAAGGTGGTGAGCCGGAGGGCTCGAGGTCGAGTATTAGCTTAAACCAGCGAAGACTGAAGAGCAGCTAGAATAGGCCCCGGAGCTCCCCTGGCTCGCTGTCCTTGTCAGGGCCGACCAAGGCAAGCCGGTGGCGTGGCCCCGAGAGCCCAGACTGACGTTCTTATAAGAGCCGGTCTGGAGACTCAGGGCGCCGGGATCCCAGCTTGACCAGGGCTGGGATAGGTAGCTTCCCCTAGCTCCGTAGTGGAGGACTCGGGCGTAGGTTAGCGGGGTTAGATGTTGTGTCTCCCTGTTAGACAAGTGAAGGGGACGATACCCCTTTAAGTACTGTGTGTACCCGTTACTGTGCACGAGTTGGTGTTAATAAATAAGTGTGCCTCCGACCCCGTCGTCCAAGCCTCCTAAATACTTACTACATCTGGCGTCAGAAGTAAACGTTCAACAATGGACACACGAGGGACGACACGTACCAGGGAGTCGGAGATGGAAGACACCACGGCCCAATCGCCACCAGAGACGGCCGAGGTCGGATTGGAGCAGCCGGGGCCGAGTATACCCGCGCTGCTACGACAGGATGGGGGGGATGCTTCGGCCGAGGGACTTCGGCTGGCTCACTCCCGCCTGGCGGAGCTGCTCTACGCTGCGGCCGCCGCGTTAGAAGAGATCACGCGGCTGGGGGCTGGAGGGGCTGCGCAGGACGACGACAGCAGCCGACACGCGGCGACATTTCCCGCCACCCCGACGCGGCTCGCGGTTAAATTTCCCGCCATCACTACAGTGCGAGCAGAGGGCGGGGCCGGCCCGCGTCAGGTGACTGCTGAGGGCCAAGCACAAGCCGTGACATCATCACCACCGGCCAGCGCGTCAACAACGGAGCGACCGGCGATGCCATGCTCGCAGCCCGCCCACACTGTAACGTCTGCTGGGAACGACGGAGCGCGATCCGCAGCCACGGACGTCGCGTTACAGCAGCGTCTGCCGCCTCTCAAAGAATTCGTGGGCGCGGACGGAGACTGGGGCGGCTTCAAAAGGCGGTTCATCGCTCATCAGGAGATGGCGAACTAGACGGACGCCGAAGCACTACGCGCGCTGCCGGCGATGCTGGATAACGACGCCCTGGCTACTCTCACCTCGGCGCCTAAGGAAAAGCACGCCACGCTGCACTTGGCGCTGCAGCTGCTGTCAGCTGTCTATGGCCCGCCTTCGGACTGCAGGCAGCTATTCCACGATCGTCATCAGGGCGCCAACGAATCGCCCCTGGCCTTCCGGACGGCAATCCTGGCCCTGGCGAAGGCAGCTTTCCCGCGGATGGACGAGGAGGGAGTGGACGCTATGGTGGCTGAAAAGCTGCTGCTACTCGCTGATGAGCTGGACGTCACCGTCTTGGCTCAAGACGACGCAGAGATGTCGTCCTTGCTGGTCGCGCGCCACATCCACGGGGGCTTGCGGTCCCTGCGTCGCAAGGCCGCCAAGGGGGTGGCCGGCCATGCCATGGCGGCCACCACCCTCCCATCGGAGGGGGTCTGCGGGGTGGAGCGGCGGGGGGAATGGAGATCGGCGGCACCACAGGCTCGGAACGGACCGAGCCGCCAGGAGCAGCCCAGGCCATCTGGGGCGCTCACACGGTGCTACAACTGTGGCCTTCAAGGCCACGTTGCTTCAGGATGCCGGGCTCCCCGTCAGCGCGGGGCGACACCTCGTCAGGACGCCGCGCCGTCTCCACCCAAGCTCCAGCAGAGAAATACGGCGAGTCGTGGCACCTCACACGTTTGGCCCATGCACACATCCGACACACACTCACGCGCTGAAACGAACAGGGCTCGCAAATCAACGGCCGTTGCGTCGGATTGTTCTGAAATGCGGCGAGCGCTCCAACCGGGTCAGTGGTCGGAGCTCGCCCATCGTGTCGTTGCAGCGTCGGCGGGATCGTCGGTCGTGGTCGGTCATATTGATGGGGTAGAGCTGCGGATTTTAATTGACACAGGGGCATCGGCGACCATTATATCTGATTTGATTTATAACATCCTTCCCGTTCAAAGTCGTCCCTTGCTCCCCGTTGATGTGCCATGCTATGCTGCTAACGGGGGCTCGCTGGGCATCATTGGGCAAATCCGCGCCAAAATTTGTATTGGAGACATTAAATTACCCGGGCCTGTTTTGGTTTCCTCCTCGCTGGCGGTTCCGTGCCTGTTGGGGACGGATTTTTTGGCCAAAATGCCCATTCGTATCTTGATTGACCAGGGGTGCATCGAGCTCCCGTCGGGCCGACGTGTTACATTTTTGTCTTCCCCCGCCACGGAGCGTCGGGCGTTTGCGACCGTGCAGGCGCTCGTGACAAAAACTGTACGTGTACCCCCGGGGGCTCAGATGCTCGTCCCTCTTAGGTTGCGTCGGCCGTTTGCTGAAGGGGTTGCGGATCGGGGGGTCTTGTTGGGACCATCTCGGGCCGGGGTCAATGGACCCGATTTGCTAGCGGCTCAGACCATGGTGAAAGGGGATGGGGACCCCTTCATTGCAGTCCTTAATGTAGGATCGCGAACGGCCGTGGTTCCTCAAGGGACCGTGCTTGCACACGCAACGCCGGTACCCTATGAGGAACCACTCGTGGGTCAGGTAAGCACCGATCCTCCATCGCGACGGCATTCGGACTGTGATGACGGATGGCTGGATGCGCTTTGCGCGGGATCAGTGGACCTGTCCGACTCGCAGCGTGCGCAGCTGCGAGTTCTCCTGAACGAATTTGCTGACGTTTTCAGTCAACACAAATTTGATATTGGTTGTACTAAATTGCTGCGACACCATATTGACACGGGTGACAGCGCGCCAATCCGCCAAAATCCCTTTCGGTTGAGTCCCGCCGAAAAGGATCATGTCAGATCGGCCGTTGATGACATGCTAGCCGCCGATATAATTTCCCCTTCCAACAGCCCGTGGGGCGCGCCGATCGTTTTGGTGAAAAAACACGACGGCTCACTGCGGTTTTGTGTCGACTTTCGGCGATTGAACAAAATTTCTGTGGCAGATGCGTACCCGCTTCCTCGAATGGATGAGTCGCTCGATGCCTTGGTGGGGGCGCGATTCTTTTCCACCCTGGATTTACTTTCTGGATTCTGGCAGCTTCCTCTGGATGACGAATCCAAACCTAAGACGGCTTTCCGTACACCGCAAGGCCTCTTCCAATTTAACCGCTTGCCGATGGGCTTACATTCTGCGCCAGCAACTTTTCAGCGGTTAATGGAACTGGTCTTGGCAGGCTTGCAATGGGATTCGTGTTTAATTTACTTGGACGATGTCATCGTCTTTAGCAAATCATTCGATGAACACCTCAAGAGGTTGCGTGCTGTTTTTCTCAAAATGCGGGCTGCCAATTTGAAATTTAAACCGCAGAAGTGCCATTTGCTCCGCGAATCGGTGCGGTATTTGGGTCACATTGTGGGGCGCTCGGGGATATCCACTGATCCCGCCAAAACGGAATGCGTCAGCTCCTGGCCAACTCCCACCTCGGTGGGTGAGGTCAGGAGTTTCATTGGGTTCGCGTCGTACTACCGACGGTTTGTGGCTGACTTCGCTACGATCGCGAAACCATTGTATGCCTTGACGTCCAAGGGAGTCAGGTTTCATTGGGGGCCAGAGGAGGAGGCTGCTTTTCACGCCCTCCGGAATGCCCTGGTGGTGGCTCCGCCGTTGAATTACCCCGCTTTCTCACAACCCTTCTTGCACGATACAGACGCAAGTAACACGGGCATTGGGGGCGTGCTGTCCCAGCTCATTGGGGGCGTAGAGCATGTGGTGGCTTACGGTAGTCGAGTACTGTTTCCGGCGGAACAACGGTACTGCGTTACCCGTCGGGAATTATTGGCAATTGTTTATTTCATTCAGCAGTACCGCCCGTATCTGTACGGTCGGCGTTTCACCGTCCGTACAGATCATGCCGCTCTACAGTACGCCCTGCGTGTTCAACAACCATCGGGGCAGTTGTCTCGATGGTTGGAGATTCTCCAAGACTACGACTTTGTCACCACATATCGTAAGGGCATCCGCCACACGAACGCTGACGCCCTGTCGCGGTTGCCACCCACTTCGGAGTGCGCCTGCCTCTTGGGTTCGGGGCGTTGTAGGCCCCCGAACGTGACCACCGATTCGGTCTTCGTGGCCGCCGCCGCTGCGCCTTCGGCTTCGGGTCTTATCGAGCAAGAAGGGAGGGATTCGTTGCTGGGGTTATCGGTTGCGGAGTGGGGACGCCTCCAAATGGAGGACACCTCCCTCCTCGCTCTGCGCCGTCGCACCGGGGGGGTTGGTCCGGGGGTGGCAAACGTTGACTCGTGGGGGTTGTTCCAGGGGCTTTTAATGCACTGGGACGGAAAATCCCGCCGCCAATGGCTCGTGGTGCCTGCAGCATTGAGGGGTAAGGTGGTATGGGCTGCGCATGAGTGGCTCCTGCACTTGGGGGTTCACAAGACCTTTGCCATGCTCCAGCTCGATTTCTTCTGGCCGGGCATGGCAAAGGACGTGGGGGATC